AAATGATCAGAAAGTATGAATGCTATTCAATATCACTAATTCTTAGAGAAGTATAAATCAAATTCACAAGTATCATGAAGTATCCCATACTCATGAGATTAGTTAATAAAAAATAATAATTGAGAATGTGTAGAAATTCGAACACTTAAGCACTGCTGGTAGAATTGTAAAGTAGTACAGCCACTATAGAAAAGTACCAGTATGGCCATCGTTCAAAATATTTAAAATTACAGAGCTCAAAATCCAGCAATCCAGTTTCTGGGTATATTTCCAAACTGAAAATCAGATCTTAAAGATATATGTACATTCCTACTTTTACAACAACCTCATTCACAACTGGTAAGATAGAAAAGCCTATCAAATATCTATTAATAGAGAAATGTGTAAACAAAATACTGTACAGTAGGATATTATTCAATTAGAAAAAGGGAAGTTCTGTCACATACAACATAGACAAACATTAAGAACATTTTGGTAAGGAAAATAAGGCAGTCACAAAAAGACCAATATTATATATGATGCATTTCTATGGGCTTTCTAGTATTCAAATTCATAGAAACAAAAGAACCGTGACTGTCATTGATAAAAATAAGTTTTTTTTATTGAAAATGGAGTTTTGGTTTAATGAAATCGAAAAGTCCTGGGAGAGATCTGTTGTGCAATGTGAATATAAATAACATTATTGAACTTTACATTAAAAAAATGGTTAAGATAAAACTGATGTGATGTGTTTTTATAGCAAATGTTTTCCCCAAATACTGAGAGAAGGACACAAAGGAAAAATCAATTACAGGGACAATATGAGTTTAAAAGATAATATTCAAGCCAAAAAAAACTACAGGCTATAGTTCTAATGTTTCCTAAACATTCCTGAGATGCAAATTTGCAGGGTTTTTTGTTTTTTTAAGTTGCAAACTAAGTATTTTACTTAGAAGTATCTTTCTCCTAAACTTCTTTAATCTACCAAGCAAACTCAGATCATTTTATATACTGAAGTAAACTTCTGAGTTCCTATTTGCCCTGCTTCCCCTTCTTCTCCCCCAGCCCCCACCCCCACCCCAGACCTTAAAATTCTGAACTGGAGCCAATTCTGTACCCTCACAAAACCAGCACTGCACTTAGTGCATAGACCCCTTAAGAAGTATTTCCTATTAAAGTGGCCTTTGCTTCTTAATTCATATTAGTTCATTCTAAAAACTTAAGCTAAAACTGTTCATCAGACTTAACTTACATCTTTACACTAATTATTATTGAAATTGACTTCTAAAATCCTTACGAGAAAATCTGGCATTACTTGCAGCTGCCTATTTTTCTCCAGTATCACATTTGTTATATCTAGCTCAAGTATATACTAGATCTATTATATATGCTTATATGCATTTATATCTTAGAACAAATTAACAGTATTTTAAGACTGTATAAAGTACTTCCCCTGTCAATCTCTACAATTCCAATTCCCTGTCATCTCCACAAATTTTGGAAATTGAATTCAATTTAGAAATTTAGAAGTTGGTTTACCACACTGTTGTAATAATCATTCTTTAATGAGTGACTATAAAAGCAAATATGTACAGGCAATGTTAAGTGTGGCTTACAAAGTATAGATAATAGTAGCAAAAAAATTAAATTCCCGGCCCTCCCTGGTGGTGCAACAGGTTAAAACACAGCACTATGATGCTAGAAGCAGCCACTTCACGAGTTCGATCCCCGGCCAGGGAGCTGACCCACATGGTGGGGCAGACCTCTCCTGACCCGCCCGCTGCTCCCCTCAGCAGTGTGCTTCGTCAATCTGCCTGTTCTGCTCCCCACCTGTCTCTGGTGAATCCTCTCAACCACCGCACCTCTGGCCTGTACCCCAGTTCTGTAAGCATAAATAAATAAATCTTTAAAAAAAAATTAAATTCCCTTCAAATAAGGCAAACTCAGTTATTGATATAATTAAAACATAACTGAAGACTAGAACGTACCCTGTAGTGTTAAATTGTGATTAGAAGTACCAGTACTAACAGATAAGTAAATAGGTAGGTAAGTGGATTTTAAATAAAAACATGGGAATTAAGGTGGGGTGAAGGGAACACTTGTACGTAGCACAATACTACCCCCTGGGGCAATGGACACATTTACACTCAGATCTCATGGGTAAATATTAGCCCTCTCTAAAAGAAACCAAGGTTGCATGTTTAAGTAGCTGAGTCTAGGAATGAAGGAGGAAAAGCTTATTAATATGAGCTGGAAACATTTCAACCACAACGTAAGGAAATGCTAAAAAATATTGAGGGAGACATGTCAAAAGGACATGTAAATGTATGCCTACAGACAAAAAGTAGATTGACAATTCCTAGGACGAGAGTTAGAAAAGGTGATGGACAGCAAAGGAGCACAAGGAGTATTTTAGGGCTAACAGAAATGGCCTATGCACGTATTAGACCAGTGGTTTTCATGGATGTTCATATACCTGCCAAACTCTTCAAGCTGTATATTTTAAACACTATAAGTCAATTACATTTCCAATTATTTTTAGGTCATGAAAACTAATTGAAGGAGGTCACTTGCCAAATATGGCAGGATCAAAACAAACAGAAATAGTAATAAATTATTACCCAGAAAATAAAACCGAACACTGTTGAATGCACATTAATAAACAAACTGCGAAGAAGAAAAGCTCTTCAGAGAAAAATGTCAATAAACAGAGATGGTATCTTTCAGTGAGAGTATCAACATTTAGCAACTTCTCAGAGCAATTTAACTGTTGTGTGAAATCTGAAGAGGAAAAGAATATTTATATAGTCTGAAAGTATTTCTCAAGACAATCATAAGGGGAAAAGAAAGTTACAGAGGCAGTTCAGTTTTTACCAATTAATCAAGTTTAATGTCCCCAGTACAAAAACACAGCATATGCTTCCTAAAACAATGCAAGAACACATAGTCTGCAGTTCTGTCCGTAACTGTAAACTGAAACTGACCATGAAGAATCAGGGAAAAAATAACCTTCAAATTATTCTACAAAATAACAGGCTATAAAATTTGAGGTTATACTTTCTAGCTCTTTATATAGATGCTCATGAGCTAGTTCTATCACCATATGCTCTTTTCCTCCATTTCATACTGGCTTTTCTCCAGGCTCAATATTGTCTGAAGAGCAGGGGAAGGTAGTATGGGAAACATTACAAGTCAGTCATATGCAAACCACACTATGAATAAAAAAAAGTTTCAAAGAACATTCTTAATAAGGTCTAAGATAGTAAAACTAAAACCATATCATGTAACTTTAGGAATAACCTCAGTAAGTATTTCTAGATATTTTTTACCAATTATGTTTAGTATTGCTATGTGTTAAATTTAAAAATTAATTTCTTCCTTTAGTATTCACTCACTTACCACTGTGTCCTAGTGAGGTTTAAGAATCTATTTCCTACACCTAACAACCTTATAATGTTTTCCTAATTCAAACTAAGGTACTGACAAAAGGAAACAAAAGTATATTATAAAAACTACCTTGTTAATCGACATAACAAAGCTTTTAGGTAAAATTAATCTCATTTTGCAAACAAAGAAATTACAGTTAAGAAAGATGATGAAAAAACAGTACTTGTCATCATGGGAGTCTAACTTCCTACTACAGTCTAGCTAAAAAGATTATAAAGTCGAAGTGTACCATAGGAATACAAGAAAAGTGTTAGGTACAGAAACATTCTAAGCAAACTTAAGACTTTATTATCTTGAAACACCATCTCCCAGGGTGATGATATTAGGAGGTGCAACTTTTGGATGGTGATGAAGTAATCAGGGCAGAATCCTCAGGATGGGAATTAGTACCTTTATAAAAGAGGCACCTCAAAAATAGTATGTCCTTAGTCATCAACTATGAAACAATAAGAAGGTTTAACCAGAAATCAATCACAGTGACTCCTTGATCATGGACTTACTAGCTTCCAGAACTGTGAGAAATAAGTTTTTATAAGTTACCAACTGTATTATGTTAAAGTGGCCTGAACAGACTAAGGTGTATGTCTTCATATACTCACCAAACACTGACTCTGAGAGAAAAAAAAAAAAATCAATGATACTGGCAAACTTTATTATATCTACCCTCAATTCAATCTTATAACACTGACAAAAAATACTAGTTAATGCAAGGCATAAATCACTGAACAACCTCACTTTTTGCATAAATAAAAAGATGTACTTATTCCAGGATCACAATTTAGGAATTTAATTCAACTTTAAAAAATTCTCCTGGGCCTCCCTTATAACCCAGAGGCTAAGTCTCAGTGCTATACAACCACCAGCTATGGCTTGAGTTCAATCCCAGGCAAAGGAGACAACCCCACATGGCGTAGCAGACCTCTACAATCTTGCGCTACTCCCCTGAGCAGTGTATTTCAGTAAATTCACCTGTTCTACTCCTCACTGTGTCTCTGGTGAATCTGCTCCCCTCCCCATACCTTTGAATCATACCCCAATAAAACGTTCTCCTAAATTCCATAGCAATTCTTAAAAGTGAAATAGAAAAATAAATATAGCTTAAATAGAAACAGTTTTTAATTTGTGGGCGAGTGTCTAAATGACCGAGATCACAAAATAATCAACTGAGAATTTGTCTTCACAGAGAAAACAAAACCTATTACATGACTACGGAAAATTGAACAAAGTTATTTTTAATTTCTAAAATTTCTGAGTTAAGTCATTTGTAAACTTAGGTCAACAGTGTACGCAAGTACTGTATCTAATGTATATAACTACTATATATTTAGTGGAAAGAAATGTAAAGACAATGTAAATAATGTTATTTCACAATTAGGGTAATAAAGTTTCTTAGGCTGAATACCTCAGAGAAGAAAAATATTAAATTATTTGCCTGTATATTTAATTCATTTTAGGTCCCTGTCATAAGCTGCTTTTTCTAAGTAGATTAACAGAAGCTTATAGTTTAAAAGAGTTTCAAAAATGCAAAGTAAACACTCGATCATTTAGTCTTTTCAAATTTTTAAGTAGTCTACCTGAATCTTCCTGAGCTTCTTGAGTTTCAGCATCATCTGTAATTTCTAATTCTTTCACAAAATTTGAAGGAAACAGTCCGGATTTGTTGTTTAAGGTTCCATTCCACCAACCTTCTTCTACCTGAAAAAGTTCAAATTCGAAACTCATATAATAAAAATTTCTCTACATGAAAATGTTCCCCTGTACTCACTCATGGGGGAAAAAATGAGCACAGAAGTTAGTGATACAATATAATTATAATCCCCCTAAATACACAGAAAAAGGCAATGAGGAAACCATTTTAAAGTAGATTAAATTTAAATGGATTAAATTAACCATATATGCAACAACACCATGAAAAATTTACAATGAGAATGTGATAAAATGTTATCTATGATGTAACTAATGTTCATCAAAGTAGTGGATAACCAAGTATAGCATATTAAAAAAAAGATAAATACTCATCTGGAATGTCTCTCTTAAACACTACTAAACCTTAGTTTGTAGCTATGACATATTATTTAAAATATGACATGTTATTTGAAATATCTGATTCAGGACAGAAAATTAAATCTTTTTTTTAAACAGTCTTAGACCAAATGTGAAAAAGAATCACTTTAGCATTCAGATGCCACAGTCCTAAATACCTATCCAGGCTCAACACAACCAGAAACAATCCTAGGAAAAAAACTCTTCAAAAAAATATATTCAATAATACTGTTAGACAACCTTCATCAAGTCATTTAATATTATTAATATTTTAAAATGTGTACTTTCTATTAATGTTAATTTTAGGCAAATATAATTTTTAAGAGCAAACTGTTCACTATCAAAATTCACTTATCTGCAGTAAATGCAATATCAAAACTAAAAAAGCTCTTTTTCTACTTAAAATATTAAATGCTTTTGGCCCTCCCTGGTGGCGCAGCGGGTTAAAGCACAGCACTGGGAAGCTGAAGCCACTTCCGCATGAGTTCGATTCCCGCCTGCCCTGGAGGAGACCACATGGCGTGGCAGACCTCTCCTGACCAGCCCGCTGCTCCCCTCAGCAGGGTACTTCGTCAATCTGCCTGTTCTGCTCCCCACTCTGTCTCTGGTGAAGCCTCTCACCGCCCCTGAGCCTCTGGCCTGTACCCCAGTTCTGTATGCACAAATAAATAAATCTTTCAAAACAAAAAATATTAAATGCTTTTTTTTTTTATCTCATCATAATTATAAGACAACCCACAATTACTATGAGTAAGCATGGTATTAATTTGAGGAGCAGAATCAAATTGCAATGAGAAATCTGTCATTAAATAAGACCATCTAAAGAAGAAAATAAACAATGAGCAGTTAGAATATAGTACTAGTACAACAAAAGTATGAACAAAATGCTATTAAGGATGGACTTAAAAGATTCAAAAAAGGCTCTCCTAAAAGGTAACATTTAAAAAGCTGGACGTTAATGGCTGAATGAGTTTTCCAGGTACAAAGCATGTGAAAAATATAGTTTATGTGTGGCACATATACAAATGAAATATGAGGTAGCTAGAATGCATGTTATTTAAAGGAGAAATACAAGGCAGTGGGTGTGAAGAGTTCAAAATTTTTTGCAGAATTAAGGGAGGCACTAAGCCAGATATGATGGGACTATGAAGAACAAACTTGAACAGGCACAACAAAGGGAGAATATCAGTAGATTTCTATGGGTACCTAGCATGCCAAATTGTAGCAACTGACAGATAAGGCAGAGCAGTAAACTTCTGAAGAACACTGAATTAAAAGCAGAGATTGTGAGCATTTAAATACTAGCTCCTCTCTCATGCCTGGAACATGAACTTGTGCTAGAAGGGTGAAACAAGATGGTCTATTTACGTGCTCTTCTACAATGTAATTCTGACATACCTCCTACCAAGAAGTAGTTATCTTTATCTCCTCCCTCCTGAAGACCTATAATCACCTCTAAGCACCAGAATGTGGTCAAAGTGACATGATCGTTTTAAAGGTTTGGTAATAAAAACCCTATTTGCTGAAATGCTTACACTTTGAGACCTGACTGCCTACAATGACAACTATCCTATGAATCCTGACAGCCCCAGATAGTAAGACAGTAAGAAAGACAGTAGAGAAGCTATACAATGGTAGTCCAGCTTTGACTATTTCCAGAAATCACAGAACAGAATCAAACCATGTTTGCTATACCCTATCTGAATTCTTAACCCACACAATCCATGAACGTAATAAAACAGTTGTTCTTTCCATTAAGTTTGAAATGACATGTTATGCAGTAACAGTAATCAGAACAGTCAACCTGTAATTCAATCTCTTCGTAAGTAAAATGAGGATTAAAAAATTCCTATCCTCTTAGGTTGTTTAGAAATTTAAAGGAAATATGAAAAAACTTATTACACTATTCCAGAAATAATACAGGCTTAATAAAGATTTATTATTATTGCCACCTGGCAGAAATAAGACTTGTCTTTGTATAAATACTCTGGAAATGAACATAAACATAAAAGCTAGATTGCATAACATGATGTTATAACACAAAATTAGTCCCCTGTGACAATAGAGCAAACAAATACTATGAAAAAGGGGCTCACTGGTTATCACTCATAACTTAGCATTCCTTTAAAAATTAAAGCAGAGATAAGATGTTATTTTTAAAGTATTTTTAAATCTCATTGAAAGATACTAAATTGTGGAAAAAGTACTTTTGTTTAATATTTGAATGTAATAATTCAAGTAGGGCAAAAGATTTTTTTTAAACATTCTTTTACTTTTCTATGCAAAGGCAAAACTTTTTTTTTTTTGCTACATGCTTAAAGTGAATTCAGAATTTTTTAAAATCTTACTCATATTCTTAGTCACTTACATTATGCAAATTTTTAGCTTAAAAAGATTTCTTTTATATCTAAAGACACTACAAATAGTGCACACAAATATTAGGTATAGTAAAAATGAGAAAAATTTTCTTACATAAGACAATCATACATTAAATCACTGAAGAACTACTTTAAACTATAATCTTTTATAAACCTTAAAATTGGAAAAAAAATTCTTACAGAAAATTAATGCTTTTATAACGCATTTTTCTAATTGCAAGAGAAAACTCCAATTGCTGCTTTGTCTCTAATACATATGTTTTCCTTACCTCTTCATTAATGTCAATAATATCTCCTACTTTTAGCTCCAATTCATCCTCATTTTGTGGAATATACTCAAAGAGAACTTTACACTGACGCTTCTTTGTCTCTAAAGGAAGTAACAAAATCAAAAATTAGGTTAAGAAAGATCATTAAAACAGTAGCACCTTTATTTTTATATATACTGTTTTTATTGTCATAGAATTTACACACATGAATAAAATCAGAATATACAAGTATTCTAAGCATCAAACCACAATCAATTCTGGTTCACTTTTCTATCCTTCACAAAGTAAATTCAAACTAACTACAAATAAAGTAAAAGGTTCCTGGCAACAAATTCTATACATCAAATCCCAGTTACACAAAAACCAAATATGAGCTACAAACTTTGAAATTAGAAATACAGATAATCAAATATTGTTGACATGACAAATATTTCAAAGATAAGTCCTCCAAGCCACTGATTAAAGTCTAGAAATAAAATGCTATTTTTAAAGTTTTTTTTTTTTTTAAGGCAAAGTGTAAAAATCCAAAATAAATTTTCTTTAACATCTCTATTTTCTAACAGGTAAAAATCAAATTTGTATACGGGAAAGATAAAAATAGCTTACTTTAGCTTTTCAAACAGCTTTATTTGTTTCAGACAAGAAAAAAGGCCTTTATAAACAATCCTGGTTTGTGATTCCCAACTTCTTTCAAACTCTAAAAATTTGAAACTCACAACTCTAAAAGTAAATGAGTAAAATAGCTATGGCAAGATGACAACATTTACAAGACTTTTGAAAAATTACTTCTTGCTACTCAAAGTGTGTTTCTCACACCAGCAGCATATCACCTGGGAACTTCTCAGAAATGAAGTATAGCAGGACTCATCTCATATCTACTTTTTATGAACTAAATCATATCCTTCCAAAATTCACATACAGAAGCCCTAATGTCTACATTAATGAAAAGGCAGTAGAGGGAGGCAATTACAAACTATGTGAGGTCACGGGAGTGTGGCCCTTACAAACACACACACACACACACACACACACACACACACACACACTCCCACAGCCATGTCAGGACAGTCATTGGCACACTGGAAAAAATGGCAAACTGGAAAAAAGTTGCACCAGAACCTAGCCCTGAAAACGCACCATGATTTTAGCCTTCCAGCCTCAAGAGCAGTGAGAAAATAAATTTCAATTGTTAAAGCCACCTATTCTGTGCTATTTTCTTTTGGCAGCCTTAGCAGGATGAATCAGAATCTCTACCCTACCAATTCCCCTAGGTGATTCTCAATGATCCAATTATACTGATTTCTAATTCTCATAAAATAACATGCTTTATTTCTTCTAAGACTTAAATATAACTGTTTCTTTTGCCAAGGACATTTTACTTTCACCCCCAAGGCCAACTCATCATCTTCAAGTCTCAGCTTAGAAGAAACTAACAAAAAACCTTCTGGATTAATGATTCTTTCTTTATGCCTTCAAAACATCCCATAAACTCATCCAAATAACGATGGAAACTTATTAGTTTAACTTTCGTTTATCATAATGACCAATTTTGTTGTGAATAAACTCCCTATTCTTTAGATTAAAGATAAATGGGCACTGAATGTATCATCACTCTCTCCCCAGTATCTAGAATAGTGCCTGCCTTATGATGGAAAACTACTAGCATTTTTTTTAATGAGTTAAAAAAAATCTAAGCCTAACAATATGGCATTAGTGCCAGGAAACCTTCATCAACACACTACTTAACCAACAAGATTTTCTTTTAATAATTTAAATGCACACTTAAGGAACTAACAATACCTAGGACACATGAAATAATGCATATTAAACAACTGTTGATAAAACACAAACACATGAAAGCAAAACATTTACTACAAATTAAAGATCTAACCAAAATTGATAGGATAAGTTGAACTAGAGCATATGTGAAAGGCTTCAAAGAAGAATTTGTAAAAGTTACAGAATAAAAGATGAAAAGAAAGATGTGTCAGATATTCTAGGTCAAAAAAAAATTTTCCCATGAACTAAGAACTGGTAATGCAAAGATCAAGAGAGATTGTTCTGGCTATTGACAAAAGAAAATCACAAAAAGTAATCTACTCTGGTAGAATTTCAATGCATCAAATCATGTTATCCATCCCCAAGTGAATTTTTTAATATACTTAAAGATGTCATGCTACAACAGAAATATTGCCAGCTTGGAAGTCTGAATGCCTGAGTTCTATGTAGTACATCTGTCGTTACCTCGTTATGTGACCTAAATTTTTTAGGAGTCAGTTTCCTGAACAATAAATGCACCGAAGGCGTATACATGACAGAGGGCTTGAGTATCTATGAAATTGTTTACTGAAACTTAAAGTAAATCTAACTGAACCCCCAAATTAACAAAGATATACTTTGTAATAATCTCCCATTTTTAGAGGTTACATCTGATTTCTAAAAATGTTTTACAATAAAAAGAACCAGAGATAGTAAACATTAGTCATACTTTTATCACCCAGAGTATGAAGTAAAAATTTTTAAATGTCACTTTTCATCAGGCTTTGAGGTGATTTTTAATAATTTAAGAGGTGATTTTATGTATAATGCCAAGAAAGCTTCTTGTCCCTTAAAACAGACATCAGTACCAAACATTCAGAAAAGAACTAGTGCCCATTCTACAGACTCATTTAAAAAATTGAAAAAGAAGGAAAACTACCACAAACATTCTACGAAGCCAACATCACACTAATACCAAAACCTAACAAAGAAAACACAAAAAAAGAAAACTTCAGACCAATCTCCCTAACGAACATCAATGCAAAAATCCTCAACAAAATCTTA